AGTGGAACATTTTACACTGGTCATCATGTATATTTACCTACTGGTCATTAAGTTATTTAAGTTTAGGTCAATTGGTTTTTAGGTCAATTTGCCAGTTCCCGTAGTTATGGCTAATGAGATGTATTAACAATAAATACAATACTCAATGGTATGATAGGCTGACTCGTGAGGAATGGTATAGAAAGTGTGAAATGGATGGACACTTACCTGACTATATTTCATCGACTAATATATATGTCATTCACAGACTATTCAAACCATATGTGCATCAAATGAATGGTAGATATGATTCCTCGGGAGTTAATATGTCTTCACTTTCAATGGCAATCAAGGTCTTTTACATGAACTTGCGTTCAATGGATATGAGACTAGAAATGTTGGCAATTGTGTGAATGTATGGTATAATACAGTACTGAAGGTCATATATTTTATGGCACGTAATTTATGCCAACAAACTGACAACAACTACTTGCTTAGCACTATTTATGCTGCAGCACTACGTCACTGAGGGGTTTCATTTGATTGGCTGGTGCAGAGCAAAGGGAGAGAAATAAATTGGTTTCCGTTTTGTCATTGAATTGAGTGGTTGTTTGCTTGAGTACTGGTCCTGGACTGTGTCCACGTGGGACACGGCTTACACTATCGCCCCAAACCTATTGTTGGGTCACATTCAGGCGGTCAGGCCTACGCGGATAACACCCGGAGCCGATCTTTTGGACCCAACCCGTGGAAGCGTAACGGAGTGCACGCCATGGGCTGAGACAACGCTGGGAGTGTCGCTGTGCTCGAGGGTTAGACCAATAGACAGTAGGCGTCGATTGGACACCAGCCCTTACCACAAGAGCCTGACCTCGGGTAGGGTAACGCAGTGCTCACCCCCGGGACCGGTGCATACGGAACGAAACCCCTGCGCTGACTGATGACTGCATTGGACTCTATCATTGGAGTCGACGACCGGTAAACTGTTTGATTAACTCCTTATCTAAGGGACGGCTATATTACATACGGTTAGAGAGCATACACTTCCCTAAGTAGAGGTGCGGCCACACCCCGTATGCCACTTCCGGTGCAACTGTTGAGCGCACATCCACAGTCCACCAATAAGATCAAAGTCGGGGCCACTTATGGCACAACCAGACTCTGGTCTAACAGTCGTCGCCAGACTATAAAACTGCGATCAAATAATGGGATAACCCGTTGGCCAACAAACAGCTCATTAATAGCCAGTTAAACGCCAACTCAGAGCCACTGTTTGCATCACTTCCTGACTCCCCCCGTGTTTTGTCTATCAATTTCTGTCCAATTATTTTCCCAAAACTTTGATAAAATCTTCATTAAATATATGATAAGATACGCAACTTGCGAAATGCGATTAACCAAGCTTAAATAAGTACTAATGAAGCTGTGTTTTACCAAGCTTGAATTGCATTCACATTGTAAGGCATGAGCATACTGTTGTTCAATATTATATATACTATAATATAAAATTAATTTTTACATTAAACCTTGTATTATTACTAATTATAATTTTAATTAAATTTGAATCTGGTTTATATTATCTCATGCGTACACTATACACATACTGCACACTGTTAATAAAGTGTGGGCAATTAATATTTTACTAATATTTGCTAGAATGTGATTTACTTAATTTATGTGATAATGTATATTTATAATACATAAACATGTATAATTTATGAACATTTATATTTATATCTATGGTGAACATTTTTAATGAATTTATGTTGTAAAAATTATATAATAAAGTTTTGTTGATAAATCACACGATTACCCTAAGGTTACTCCCTGTCCAGACAACCGACAACGATGGCGGCTCTTAAGGTGTAGTTCCACTATACATATGGCCATCACTTTGACAATACAAGTGTTTCAGATAATCATACGATAAATAATGATGTATTAACCAGTTGATCCAGGTCATAACGAATTAATTCAATTTAATGGTCTGAACACAATTTCATTTTAATATATATATCATTATCTTCTATCCATGAGTTGCACTCGTTTTTAGCCATATATATAGACAATGCTTCAAGGTACTTCAAGGCATAAAGATCTAGATATATATAATTATATATATATGAGTCTTAATTAATCAAACCCAGTCTCGCAAATTTTTTATTTTATAAGCAATTTTTCTGTGCTCTCGACTAAAGTATAAAATCTTTTATGTTTATATACCAAATATTGTAAACTATGCTTTAAAACTATGAATATTTATTATTTGCTAATTTATTAATGATTCAATATTATAGTAAAATATTTCCTGTTTATAAAAACGATAAAAGATTTTATACTTTAGTCGAGAGCACAGAAAAATTGCTTATAAAATAAAAAATTTGCGAGACTGGGTTTGTTTAAAATCCATTCATATATTAACCCAGTTTTAAATATCGATATAAAAATGCGATAAAGTTCAACATTTATCATTAAGAAATTTTATGCTAAATATGTCCACATTTTACAAATAATTATAACTTCTCGCGAGACAGTGCTATTTTAAATATGAGCCACTACACTTAAACTTTTGCATTATAGGGGAATACATCTTTTTAATAAAGTAAATAAAGTACGGCATACAGTACAGGTTCAGTACTTGACACACACTATTGAACTACAGTGAGAGCGGTTCTATGCATTTGCGTTTGTGGACTATAACATGAATACTTGACTGGAAAGACAGCCTTATCTCTGAATTCATATATTAGGTAATGAACTATTGGTAATCTATTAATAATGTCAATTTATACTAGGTGATATAAGTTTATAATAGTGTTAGAGTTAAATCGAGCTTGTCATACTCATATTATAAACAAAAATTTAGTAAACATAACTTCAATTATTCATATTTTCTAATTCTTAATACATAACCAAAAGTTCATTGCCTAGTTTATGTAATCAGAGATAAGACATATAACAGCCAGGTATTCACATCAATTCTATAAAATAATTTACTTTGATATTGCTAAATAGTATGAAAGCAGAGTTGAAAGTGCTATCCATTTATATCCACCACATACACAGTATATTACAATAAATCTTACTGTAGAATCCTATATTCTTATTGTACAACGAATACATTTGTTGAGATATTTTATGATGAACGGTATATATTTGACATGCTCGCCAATCAAATTGTGTTTTGATTATTTCAAACCTTGATTTGTTAATTGCGTTAATGTCTATTGAATCTACAAACATAAATACTGTAAATGTCAGTTTGTATGCTCAAATAAAATTAAACTATAAATATCTAACGATTAGTTATATTCCCATTATTCCCATCAATCATATGGATTGTACAAAACGGTTCGCTTTGAATAAATAGTTTGTAAAAAGAATCACATTTTCCATCAATCATAGCATCAAATAGTGAATTGAATTCTTTGTCTCCAATAATGGGTTTATTTGTGATAAATGTCTGCAATTGTGATAAAATGTGCGAACATTCGGGTCTTTGCCTCCAATCTGTTGAACCATTTTTGCGATACTTATTAACACTCATTGATACTNATAATGGGTTTATTTGTGATAAATGTCTGCAATTGTGATAAAATGTGCGAACATTCGGGTCTTTGCCTCCAATCTGTTGAACCATTTTTGCGATACTTATTAACACTCATTGATACTAATAATGCATTCATTTTATGCATCCATTCATTCATATCTTTGTTATATTTAGTGTTTATTTTAATCCTAAAATTCAAATATTATTTTGGGTTAGACACGTTATATTTTATATATTAATAAAAGTGATTAATAAATTTTTTATTAAAAATAAATTTAAAAATCAATTCATACGTTCCGTCGATTATATCGTTTACATTGAAACCAAAGATTTGAGACCCAATTAGAGATAGACTGTAGATATCTATTAAATGGTTGTATTCATTAGTCTGGGCTTCCGGTGCCATATAGTCTACAGTTCCCACATCTGCTGTATGCTTGGCTTTAGACATAAGAAACGGATCACAATTTAGGACCTCTTTAGCCAAACCAAAGTCACATAACTTTATTATCCCGTTCCGTGTAATCAACACATTATCCGGTTTGAGGTCTCTATGAATGATATGCTTTTTGTGTAAATATTGCACACAATCTGAGTCTATGGAATATATGATTCGATATATAAAACTCAGAAAAAGTCATCAAATCAGTAAACAATGATTTCTTAGTTTCCAAAATTGCATAAAATGAATGCATTATTAGTATCAATGAGTGTTAATAAGTATCGCAAAAATGGTTCAACAGATTGGAGGCAAAGACAATTGCATTCAATCCATGAATAGTAGTATTTAATCACAAATTCGGACTGAAGTTTCAAAAGACTTTGCGTTTCATTCAAAACATTTTGTTTTTCTTTTTGTGTCAATCCTTTTAAAAATCCAAATATAATAAAAATGATCATAATTTTGAAAATAAAATGAAATATATTTACCATTTAAAAGACATTTCTTTATTGCATATAATTCATGGTTACATTTATCTCGAACTTCATATACCTGGCCATAGCCACCTTCACCAAGCTTATTTATTACATCAAATGACTTTTCAAATGATATTGAATTATTCATCTTATCGTGAGTTTCTATAATAAATATAATAATAAAAATCAATTCAATGCACAACATATTAAGGCACCAACTATGAAATTATTGTAATATTTACCACAAATTTGTGTATTTTGTTGAATATGTACTGAAATTGTATTTAAAGTGATTTGTAATTCATGTGAAAAGTAATCATCAAATGAGGTATAAATTGTTTCAGACAGATTTCTGCCAACAATTTCATATATTTTATCACCAGATTTGCCCACAATTTCTGAGTTATGTTTTTGTTTGATTTCATTGAACACAAAATGTGATAATATTTCTAAACAATTATCATGATAGTCATATCGATATAATCGACCATGGTTGGATAACAAATATGCACATACAGAACTTGGTGGAAGTGTACAGAACTTTTGTACGTTAATTTTAATTTCTAATAGATTTGGTGTTCTTATTATATTTTTACCTACCTCTCCCCAAATAAACACCTTTCCCTCGCATGTAAGAGCAAGTGATGTATTCGAATTGCACTCTATTTTACTAATTTGATATTCAGTGGAAAATTCAACAGGAGTTGGATCTAATTGAATACTCTTATTACCACAACCAACCTGTCCAGAGTCATTACACCCCCATCCGAATACCTGTCCATTTGATGTCAACACAATTGTATATCCCACACCACAACTTATTTCTGAAATAATTAAATTGTTTGTTTGGAAATATAATATAATATCCGGTTTATGATATACATTCTCATCCATATCCACATGTCGTTCCAATCCCCCCCTATTATTTTTACCAAAACTGAATATCACATTATTATCCGTATTGACAGCCAATACAAAGTTCCATCCATTGATAAACTTATGTATATTTTTATGGCATAATTCTGGCACTCGTTGTGGTGTATGAATGGGTGTGTTGTTTAATGAGATGTATTAACAATAAATACAATACTCAATGGTATGATAGGCTGACTCGTGAGGAATGGTATAGAAAGTGTGAAATGGATGGACACTTACCTGACTATATTTCATCGACTAATATATATGTATCGACACCACAAATCACTCAATAGAGCATTCTTTGGGCCATCGATTCAAACCACGTCTACAACCGAAAGACAATCCATCGCAATAATAGGTAACATATATTTTACTAATCATAAAATTATGTGAGAGCCAGTCCGCTGGCAAAGTGCTTGGTAATTTAGTCCCTTGGTCTATGTACCATCATTACACCACTTGATTGTGGGATTGGTATGCATAAGGACCAATACTATATTACATTTAAATAATAAAAATATTACTAAAAATAAAGTACCGTGTTACCTCGTTTATAATACCTGGGGTTGAATTTTTATTTCACTGTATTAATGTGGACCAAAGTTGAGATATACATTGGTACAATTGTATTACATAAATTACACTAATATATTTGACGTAAGGTATACAATAAGAGCATTTATTGCATAATTGTTTGTGAAATTTTGAAAAATGTAAATAGTTTGGTAAGTTAATAAATTACGTAAAATTAGTTTAACGTAATTGTTGACTAAATTAATGAGCGCTAAACATAATACTAATTATAATATATAATTAATGACATTAGATAAACACATTTTAATGTTAAAAGAATGAATTTTTAAACCTTGTTTATTTATTTCAGTTGTCAAGATGAATTTGACACCCTTTATCATCTATCTCTTCAGTGTATCCATATATATATGCGATGCAAAGCCACTAGATGCACTGGAAAATTCATCTTTTTTCACTAATTATAGCCAAGTTACAATTAATTCCGGGTTGATTAGAGGTTGCAAAATTCTAATCAATGAAGTGAATCCAAATAATATAAATAAAAATAAATGTCTTCAAACTGAATTCGTTGAATTAGTTAAAGTTTGTAACAATGATTCCGTCCGTTATTCTCTTCAAGGTTATAAGCTAATCTTAATAGAATACGATGCAAAAAGTGAGTAAGCTCCTAAATTAAAACAAATAATCATACTATATTAAATTTTATAGATTATCCAATAATTTCACTTGTTGTGGATTTAAGCAATCAATATTTTAATTCATCATATTTTGTTGTCGGTGGCTCAAAAATTAAAACAGCAAATTTAAAATACCCCGATAATTCTATTAAATATTCTTACCAAATTATTAAGTATGAATGGATAAATTTCTTAAAGCGTGGGAATATCTATCCAAATGGAGTAGTATTAGTGTATAACAATAATACTTCTAATATTACATTATCTGAAGAATCTCCGGCAATTTACGTACAGCCCCGGCTTCAAGAATTACGTGGGACTGTGATTGATATGGTCATATATGGTAGCAAATATTCAGCCGATAGATCAATTATATTTGAAAAAATCTATGAAGATTTTAAGGGAAAAGATTATGTAAAAAAGGACCTCGATGAATACACACACATTGATCATTCACTTTCTCGGTGTTCTGACCTAACCGATCCCTTTCTATACGACATATTTAAATTATCAATACCAACACCTGGTGCTGATAATTTGTGTGATAAACCTAATACTGATAAGGGCCAAAAATACAATAGACAAAAGAACGAAAAAGAATTAGAAATCGATTTTGATACCGACACCGATTTTACACCTCCATTGTTCGTAAAATACTTTGTTCCTCCATTGGTTGATATTACAATTAAACCAACATTAGAAGAAAAAGATAAAGATGATGAAAAAAGTGACGACGATGATGATGAAGAAGACAAAGAAATTTCTAAAAGGATTAATTCAATTTTGAATGAAACCGACAGATGCACTCGATCATTAGTAACTAAGGCGTCTAACCTTGAGCGATATTCAGTAACACGCAAAATTGAATATCTGCAAAAAGCTGATCCAGACATCCAAAAAGAATGGGAGAGGACAGATAAATTTGACAATAAGTGGCTTGAGCTGATGGACAAAACTAAAATGCCAATAAAACTAATTTCTGAAAACCGGTATGCTATAAAGACATGGATGATTTACAAGCATGGACCTGAACCTAGTTATGGTTGTTGGATATGTCAAGATTATGGCCCAATATTTAACATAAAAGGCGTTATTCCAGAAGTATCAAAACGTGGAGGAAAAATTGTCGATAACGACATTAATAATAATATACAATCGTGGAATTAGTTAACTTTATGGGCTCGAAATTTGCTACGCTAAAACGGATAATCCAATCCTAATCCTCTCTTCACTGTTTTATAGCCCCAACTTCTCGGTTTGTAAAAAATTTTATTTGGTGTAAAAATCTACCATGGTAACTGCGCCATTTGAGTTTACAAAAGAGAGGTTTTTCCATTGAAAATACATTAGATTTAGTCATAGAAAAAGCACAGTAACAATATTGACTAGTAAAAACCTTAATAATTCCTAAAC